CCTGGCGTCGAATGAAATCTTTACGTACCTGAGTCGGGAAGTGGAGGAGGGGTTGAAAGTTTTCGTTATCGAGCCGGCGACGGCGCCGCGCCGTTTCTCCTCCACGGCTTGACGGATGACGGTTAATGGACCTATTCATTTCGACCTCGATCAACGCGCCATGACGGGGTGCATCGTTCCGGAACGACTCGGAAAATTCACTCGTTCTTCCACATCGACCTTTTCTTGTTCTCCCCGTTCGGGATCTGGAGAATCAGAAACGTTCGCCGCGCAGGAGTTTGGCAATAATGCTGAATTCGATGGTAGGGGAGAGTGGGTAGGTTTGAGTCATGAGAGGTTTGGCATAGGGCTGGAAATTTTTCTGCATTCGAATATTCGTATACTTCAGTCGTTCAATTCTTGACGGACATAATTCGAATAGGATTTGTTACACTGTGCGACAATAACGAAACTTTCATTATCACTTTTTAATCAATCAAATCAATCCGCAGGTTATAACCTACCCCTCATCCTCCTTCTATTTCCCAATTTACTCATCTCGCCCCTTCACCCCCTGCAGACACTCTATTTCATTAAGCCTTAAACGACCTCTCTTAATTACTTATCGATCGCGCAACAGGATCAGTCACGACGATTACGTTTTAGCCGGCCCCGTCCTTCAGGATCAACCCGACTGCGACTTTCTTATTTGTGTTGCGCTTTATCGAGCCGCTCTCGCCGCCCTCTACCACCCCGCGCCTTAATCCCAAACAGCTCCGGATAATTAAGGAAGATTTTTCAGCGCTGAAAAGCCTGCCCCTCCAACCCCTCCAACGTCGTTCCAAGAAACGCAAAATCCCGAGTTTCAACCCGAGCCGTTTACCTAGCGTCTACTTCCCCTGGCGAAATTTAACCCTCGCCAGGATCTGACTCGCTCACTCTCTCTTCCTCTCTCTCTCTCTATCTTTCCCTCGTCTACGTCCCAAGGAAACTACGTCGCGAAATGTCGATTTCCTAGATTCGCGGTGATTTGAATTCCCGCCGGAGGATGAGCCTGGTTCCCAGAGAATTGTCTCCGTGCCACGTACAACTTCCGGCAAGAGAACACAATTTCGGTGGTTCGCGTGAATTTTCCGCGGGGAACTCTCGCAAGTATATTCCTTATCAGTCCAAAACCACCGGAAGTCGCGTGATTCCTGCGGTGGCACTCGGGAACTCGTGAAAACTGTGGGGGGATCGAGAGACTTCCAAAAAGGATGGTGGCTCCGTGAAAGTGCCCGAGAGTTCCAGTTGAAGAGTTCCCTCCCTCGTCCGCGAGAACTAATCTCTGTTTCAGGTGCGCCTCCCGTAGATGGTATGCACGACGTCCTTTCTCTTGGTCTCCCTCGGATTCACCTTGTCACGCCGTGTCGTCTCCGACTCGCTTACAAGATCTGACCCAGTTCTACTTCAATTACTCCATTTGCGTTCTCGGACTCCCAGGCTTTCCCAGTCGTTCCGTCTAATAATCTCACGAAGACACGGACGTCTTCTGTATGGTATACACACCACAAAAGTATAACCCTCAATTCCCCACCTCGCTGGTAATCTGTGCGAGACCGTATCTACCCGGCAGCCCACGAGACGCGTTTTGCAACGAGCAGACCGGAAAACGACGTCATTAAACCAGCGTCACACCGTCTCCTAGCTTTTCAACGGTTTCTCCGTAGCGCGTGGCCCTTCTGTTTTCTGCGGCGCCTTTTGTATCGAGACCCCCGCGGGACCCAACCCTACCCCCTTCCGACCTTCTTCGAGCATAATAAATGTCCGCCCACCGAGCTGGCCCATCTCTTATTGCGCCACCGCTCGAGGAACGTTGGAGGTGGGAGGTTGGCGACCTGGAGAAAAAGCTTGCAGGAAGGAATGTCAATAAGGGAGTAGAGAGAGGCAGACAAACGGGAACGTCGAAGTTTCACGTGAAAAATAGGGGATGCTCGACGCTGGAATAATCGCGAATGAGGCGGCGCCAGGAGGAACTTGGAAGCCCGACGAGACGGGGTGGGGGGATGTTCGGATGAAATGGGTGAAGGATGCGGTGGACTTCGAGAGAAGATTGTTGACTTCCTGGATCATAATAAATCGACATCGATGTGGAATTCTGTGTGCTTTGGAACCTGATATGGGATAAGGGACCGGGAAGTGGATGAGACGTTTGTGTTTGTAACGTCGATGACGGTCAGTCTGTTAAGAGGATTTATTGGGACTTCCTAGCATGAGATTAGTTGTGCAATTTCCACTGTACAGGGTTAGTTACGAGTAAGGGAATACCTAGGAGTCTTTGTTGGGATTGAAGATTAACGGAAGTATTAACATGTGTAGTTTGGTTTTTCAAGACATCAAATATAATTGGGTTTCAAGCATCGAATATAATTTTCTCAACTTTTTTGAAATCCAATGCATAGAAGATGATTGAACTAACTAGTGTATTCATATTTTGGGCGACAGAGGATTTCGCAAGGATCGCAAGACGAGATGTGGTGCGGTGGCAGAGTTGCCCTGAGGGGGAAAACAAAAAAATTTCCCTAGGATAAATGGAGTTCTACTGTACTCCAGCTTAGGATAATTAGTAATGGTTAATTCGAGGAAGAAGAAGAGAGCGGGCAGCCGCTAGTCGCGTCGACTGTTCCGGAGACGCTGCTCGAAGAAACTAGAGGGAGGAAAAATACGAAGAAAAGCGTGCCACGTGGGGTGGAGGGTAGATGGCCGGGAGACGCATTCCCCGCCGGAGCCGTCTTGACTGTGACTAATTATAAGAATTACCGTCGCTCAACGAAGGACCGGGGAAAGAAGTACGGGAGAAAATTAAACGGAACGGCGATACGTTTAATCTGTAAGCAAAGAGGGTACGTCGGGGATCGTGGGCGTGACGACGTCGCGCGACAAGGAACGGCGAAGACAAGTTGGCGTAGACATGAACGTGAACTGTGGCAAGGGGGTGGAAAAATAAAAAATGAACCTGGTGTGTTTCGGTCCAGTACAGGATTTTGCCTTTCTGTCGAAGTACGAAATTTCGTGTTGAAGTGGTTGGTTTGCGTGTACAGGAGAGGTAGAAATTGTGGTGGTTGATGTGCAATTAATTATATCTGTTTATAACTTCCGTTGTTAGGAATTGTCGAGAAAGTAAAATAGAGGGTAGGAACGATGGTAGAAGGGAAAGTGAAAGTAGGGTGGTGAAAAATATCGAACGTTTTATGGTTGTGTGTTTCCTGAAGAATTTATGATTTGGCGGAATTTGGCCTCCATACTTGCGATTTATAGTTTGTGGTATAATCGTCATCCTGGTCTTTAAACGATTAATGAGATTAAATAACTGTTTGCCAAGTGTCTGCTCATTCAAGAAGAAATACTATTCTGTCATAAAAATTGGAACTTTCACGTTTATTTCATTAAACCTGACGAAGTACTTCGTTTAAATCTTTCAATCGTTTTTCGAAACTCTTTATTCAGATAATCAATTTGCCCATCTCTGGTCGGTGGCACCGTACAGAAACGAAGAAACGAAACGGATAGACGTTTCAATTTTGATCGTTTCGTTTCCGGGACAGAAAAATCAACGACCCTTAACTCTTTCGGAAACACGAAACGGCAACGAGTATTTAAGAATGTGGGTCAGTCTCGACCAGTAGTAAAAGTAGCGCGAAGAAGCTCTCCCTTGATCTCGATGGGTAAGCGACTCCTCCGCGATCGTCGTTTCTTGCGTCGAAGTTTCGAAGCTACTTAGAAAAATCGGAAGCCAAGAAGACAGGCGGGGTGGGGGGTTGAGTCCGGTTCGTCCGCAAGTACGCGTGAAATATTAATGGAGTCGAAGGAAAGGAGGGGTAGAAACGGACCGAGAAGGACGAAAAAGTTTCGGAGGGCACAGAAAAAAAGAAAAAGAGTGGAGCGTTTGGCGGAGAGGGTCGAGACGAAATGGCACGCGACGGGGACCACGGGATTGGACTGGCTAAATGAACCACTCGTTCGCCGTCGACGTCTCGACGAGTTCCGCTTTAAAGATAACGAAGCGAGTTCTTCGCGGAATAAAGGTAGGTAACCACCGTGCGGCACCTGTCGAGTGTTTGTCGAGACTGTCTATGCCAGGGCGACGGGCGCGACAGGTGGCTTCGTTCCCTCCTTCACCTCTTCCCTCAATTTCTCTCTCACTCTCTTTTTCCCTTCCCTCCAACGTCTACCTTACCCACGGTATTACCCTCATCCGTCTTTTTCTCCTGTCCTCCTCATCCCCTCCGTCGAGCACCCTGCGACTCGCTCGGGGGTGTGATTTAAAGTGTAAACTAAAATATTCCAGCGGTTGCTGTCGTGCAAATAGATTCGATATTAATGGAGACCTCGTCTGTTCGTGGTAAGTTCGCGGACGGCTCCCGGCGCCCTTAACCACGGGGATGGATCAGGGTCAGCCACGGACGCCCTTGGGCGTTTTTCTTTCGAAAAGAAGGGAACCGTGGATCGGCCGCTACGCAAGGTGATTCATGGACCATCGCGGGAAAGTTCAAGGTTCAATTTCCCGCCGCAAATCCGAGCATTCTTCTCGGACGATTGTCTGGCCGACTTTTGCTTGATTCATGAACTTTCGGAGAGATTCTACTTACGTACAATGGGACCATCCGCTGGGCTTCTGCCACCCTCGTCGGTTTTCCACCCCCGTTCAGCTGTCGGCTTACGAATCGAAAACTATGAACGGCAATTCTTGATTCTGATCTCCGTGTGTATTTAGTACTGTATGGGAGTTCCTTTGTTCGATGGATTTTACTATTATTAATAATGACGTATAAGAATAATAATGACGCGTCGCTTAGAAGGTACAAGGAGGGGAACGTGGTTCGAATGAATGACACACCTCGTTAGAGAAAAATAAAGGAAGCTTTATTCTTTACATACCATAGCAGGCGATACGAGTCGACAGCGCGTCAAGGTCCCCGTGGACGCGTTCGGCCGTACGGTGACATTGCCGCGCTTGTCGACGGATACAAACGAATACCGGGAGGAAGATCGGGGAGACGTTGGGGTCAGGATATACGGCGAGTCGATAGTGGGTCCTTTCCGGGGTCGTATTATACACGCACACTCGTCTCTCTCGTCGCTGTCTCTGTCCGCGAACGCGTCAGCACCGTTCTCCGGGTCGCGTGGTCACGCCAGGATCGACGCGAGTTTGTGGAGGTTCATGATGGTCGTCGCGTCGCCCGGCTGCAGTCTCAACGCCTCGCTGTACGCGGCCGCCGCCTGTTTGTATTTCCCGTTCAGGTGCAGAATCGCGCCGAGGTTCGTGTGGCTGCGCGCCTCGTTCGGCCTCAGGCTGGCCGCGTGACGGTACCAGATCTCCGCGTCATCCAACCGGTCCGCCTGACGCAACGCCGACGCCGCGGCCATCGACAGCTCGTAATCGGAACGGGACAGTTCCGCCGCACGTAGCTGCTCCTCCGCCGCCTCGGACAGACGACCTTGCGACGTCAGGAACAGTCCTGAAAGCAACAGGGGACACGTCCAGTTCTGTGAAAATGTTATTTTGTTGGAAGCTACAAAAATATTGTGATAAGTAAAACAGTTTTTCAAGGACATAGTTTCAAAAATTCCAAGGTTGTTGATGTTTTTTTGAACGGAATAACGTATTAGAAGTTGATGAACATCACTTTGAGAATTTATTACAATAAATTTTCTGCAAATCAAACGCAAGTGAGATACTCAAGGTGCTCATGTTAGGTGGGACAACTTGTATAGGGCGATAATAAATATGTGGGACACTTTCTCAGGGGGGATTCTACATGCAAAATTAAGACGAGAATCACTAGTTATCACTAGTTATTACTTCGGTATCATTAGTCTTACTTCGTTATCACTAAGAGTGCCCTGGGACCCATCCGCGCCGGGCCTTACCGGGGCGCGCTGACTTGCAGACAATACAGCCATAAACCCTACCGCTGGGAGACTCGAAATTTCGTCGCGTTCAAGTCGCACCATGACCACGTGCGCGATATTTTTCTCGCGTCCGCTTCGCCCTGAAGGAGAGGTTTTCCACCTCCACGTCACTTGGAAAAACCGAGGAATTTGCCTTCCCCTTCAGGGCATAACCAATAAGGAGGCGAATTTTGGTTACGCCTTCAGTGAACTTGGAGGAAGCGCGACGTCACACGAAACTCGACAGTCACTCGCAAACACTCGTATCGACAAGAGTCACACGGACTCAATTCATTCGAAAACATTCACTCGACAACATTCACCTCACGATTCGTCAGCTCCACCGGTCGAGCAATTATATTAGTTACTCTCACTTAAAGAATATTGAAACAGTTACCTAATATTAATTTGGTGGACAACAGTCGCAATTGTACGCGTACCACGACGGTCGAGCCTGGAATTTACAACTCCAAGCGGATTCGAAAGAGAATCCACGCGGACGGACGCGACACTATACTACCAAGAATCTACACTGCGAAAGTGTCCCACATTTTTATTAACACCATGTATAGACTCGTCGTCGAGTAGACTCTCGAATAGAGGGCCCTCTTGATACCGCGACGGCACGCGGGGCTCTCGTATCGTTCCATTTAAGCGCCTCCGAAAGATAATTTTTTAATTAAACCACTTCACTTTGTAGGGATTGAAATCATTAACCTCTCGAGAACGAAACAGTGTAAAGTCAACCGCTTACTGTAAACGTTGAATCGGTTTCATGAACCACATACCGGATAGGAAACTTGAGGTTCTGCTTTGATATTTTGTTAGATAAAATTACATAAGCGTTATCTAATTGATGTGATTATTAGACGATTATCATTTGATAATATTGTTATTCATAGCGCTCAAAACCCTTTGCACTCAGCAGCTTTGCATTCGTTTCGAACATGACAGACGCAATGAAAACTGATATATGTATAAATAAGGCATACATATATTAGAAATATAACTGTTTTATATAAATGTTGAATATATTTTCATACTATACAAAAAACTTAATACTGAATTTATGTAATATATGGGAATTGATTACAAATACGTACTTCCAATCCCCAGAAAAATCCTAGATTTGCTGTGCGAAACCGAATAGCGAGTGAGAGTTGCCTATCGAGTGCAAAGGGTTAACACGACACAATTAATGGCAGTTGATTCGGTTTTTATTTATCTAAATTCGTCTATAAAACTGCGACTTTGTCCAAACATATACAGTCTATTAATTAAAATTCTTTTTCTTCCTCTCTTCCACTTACAGGATTTATACATTCGACATTGTCAAATTATTCGATACAGTGTCCAGCATACCTCTGTTCTCGTATTAACCGATAACAAAACATATAGATCCTAATATCGAGCTTGTTTTCCCCGACGAATATCTACGATTCCCATAAACGAAATGCCGTAAAAATTTCGCCAGCGCCGCGTCGAGGATGGCAACCATAAATCTCCACGTGATATATAACGCGACCTTCCGCGGGGGCCACTGCCTAATGACGCGTGCCGCTAAGAGAGATAAACCGCGCCATTTTTTGCCACCCCACCGAAAAATAGTACTCGACCGTGACTTTCTCTCTCCCTCTCTCTTTCTCTCTCATTCCCTCGTTTTTTTTTTCATCAAGTAAATTAATCCCGGCCACAAAGAATCGGCTGACTGATGCCGTACACGGCCTCCCCTGCGTTTGGCGCCCCTGCAAAAGGTCGGCACGGACATTCCAACGAGTAGAAAAAAAAACGATGGTAAAAGGGTGCGGGCATACAGGTCGAGGCTTCGAAAAGGTTGTCCCTTGGTGGGGAAAAAGCGCGAAGAACAAACAGCGAACGAGTTGGAATCGAGACACGCTTTTCTGGAATTTCAATACCCGTCGATTTTACTCCGCGTCTGATGGCTGCCATTTTCCTTTTCCCCTGCGGTCCCTCTATCTTTTCCCGATTAGCCCGTTCCATCCTTCCCGCCACCGTCCACCCACCACTCTCTCGGCATCCACTCTCATCCCTTAAGAAAATATTACAAGGGTATTTACGATTGCCCCCACGGATCGACGATCCTCTTTCCTTTTGTTATTAAACGACCCTCGAAAAATCTGGAGTGTGTCTCTCCCGGTTCTTCCTTCGTCCGTTTCCCTACCTCGTTCCAATACCACCGGCGGAATGTCTAATGTCCCCGCGACCGTGTACTAAGTTTCCAAGTGAAGAGGAGGGGAGGAAACAATTATACCGCTGTTACAATGGACCGAACGATGAATCGTTCGACGGCCACTCCAATTTGCTCGGTAACAGCGAGAAGCACCCTTAAGAGGTCGTATTTCATTGCTTTAATAATGAACGAGGCCCTCTTATCGTTTCGCGAACGGTTGTAGGCATGGAGAGACAGAGAGAGAGAGAGTGAGAAAGACAGAGAGAAAGACAGAGATAGAGAGATAGAGAATCGAAATGGGTAGGAGGAATTGTATAAATTCGAATCTCGTATTCATCGTTCGATCATCGGAACGATTCTTTCTCTCCTATTCCCCACTTCTGTTTCCTGATTCGTGACCGCAATTAGAGAAGCTGCCAGTTTCACCTACCGTAATGATGGTGCACGCTCGAATCGTCCGGCGCCAGTCTACGGGCTCTCAGGAACCATCTCTCGGCCTCCAGCACGCGGCTCGACTGCGGAAGACAATTATAAACGGGACTTTAACGATTAGAGATTCCTTAACTCGGTTAACGCTCGCATCCCGACCGCGATTTTTAACTTCGCTTTTTTTGTTTACACGATTTTTTCGTACTAATTACTTCAGAACTTCTTGCTGTATGGTGAGTTACACATCTTATGTGAGACGAGTTTACTATTTCACTTTTAATTCAATAAGATACTTTAAAAAGAGAAAGAAACTTCTATTTTTTTTTTTGTTGTCTTTACGAATTACTTCATGAAATTTCATTTTGCATTAGAATCCATAGTCTACAATCACTCACAAATTTTTCCACGGAAGCCGGACGCATTTATTTGACCAAATTATTTATCAAATTGCAAAGTTTTCTTCGAAGTTCAGAGAAATTGATCAGAAAATAATGATGGAACTATAGATAATGAGGACACATAAATAGGTATTGCATGAACATTTGTATTTAGTTCGAAAATATATGAACGAACGTGTGAACCACTATACTAACAATTCACATAACATTTGTACGATATTTCTGCACACAGTGACCATTTTCACATTCCCATCGTTCGAATATCTCGTTCGCCACGAACAGTCTCGCGCGACATATTAAATTATACGCCTCGTTTCAATAAAATAAAGCCTTCCCGTCTCCAAATCGTGTTTCGTGTCGGGAAATTTATCAACGGGGGTCGCGTCGTCGTATCCTCGGGGCGACGGCGTACTCGAATTTATTTCAACGTGATTGGGATCGCGATACGTCGTCTCCGAGGCGCGGTCTCCCGTCACGAACGTGAAAGAGGATAGTCTAGACTTCGTTCCACCCACTAGCGTCTCGATGGTAGTGGGTAGCAAAAAAAAAAAGATGGTATAGAACGAGCATGAATAGAATTTCGATACCGGTTCCCCGATAAAAACTCGCGACGAGTTTACCGATCGAAACGCAGAATTCATTTGCGCGGCAACACCGACGACATTTATCGGTCAAACGTTCAATTACGACCCCGGGATCATCGTTTATACCGGTATCGACTTTTCATCGACCCTTCCTCCATTCGACGCGTGATGCGCATTGCGATTCACGCGCGCGTATTCTATGGCAAGGACTTCCTGAAGCATACGCTTGCAAAAAAAGGGGATAAATTCGTCGTTCACGCGAAAATGGTATTGAACAAATTAAGACGGACGTGTTCGAGGTCACCGGCCGCCTGGAATCTCCCAAAAATCGAACGGAATTATTTGCTCGAGAGAGAAATTCTGCTTGGATTCGAGTATAACGGTTGGAAGAAAAAGTATTACTGAAAAATTTGTCCTCTCACAGATGGACAAAATTACGGAAAACTGAATAGAATCTATAATTAATCGTGCAACGTGTGCTGCCCAGTCGATTGCTCGGTAACGAATGATTTTAGAACAGACGGTAATTGGGAACGAGCGACGAGTACCAGTGTCAAATTAGCAATTTAACAATATCATTCCGCTAGACAGGTCGCCTGGTATGATCAGCAGTACAGAGTGGAAATTACCGGCGGTAATTAAACCGACCCGATACAGGTGAGTGTGTAAAAAATGAACGAAAGCGGCGCGTGTGTATCTCATCGAGGGGAGGCGACGGAAAAAAGGGGGTTGCAATCAATAGTCGTATCCGTGTGCGTAAACATAGCTCTTTTTCGGTATCCGACCGCCACGTTGCGTCGCTAATTGATCGCAAAATATTGGCGCTCGAGCTCGCGAAAGGAAGGTGCGATGCCCCCACCGTGTCGGTTCGTTTGTGGAAATTTTACAGGTAGGGGTAGGAGGGCATTACGGGGTAGCCAGGTAAGATGGGGTATCGTACACACCTAAACTCTAACTGAAAGATGCTAGATATTTCGGCGCACAAGTTCTTAATTGTTCTAACTGCATTTTTAAAAAACATTATGTTTTTTGTCTTAATGGTGGTACCTCCAAATTCTAACCACACTTAAAAATTTGTTTTATTATCTCACTACTTTCCTGTTTCTATAATATTAATGTTAGTAGATTTTGAACTCAGTTTTCCCAATTTAGAAACTAGTTGAGACAGAATAATTAAGAACTAGAGCGACGATGTGACGAATACACCAATAGAAAACTATTATATTATAACTAGACTGCAGATTTTTGTGCAAAATAATATTTTCTAAAGTAATTTACAAAGATTACAGTAAATGTAGAATGTTTCGCCTGTTATTATATTTCACAGAGCTCTATTGGCTTTAAAGGCATAAAATCCGCAGTCTAGTTATAACAATTAGGTCGCTGGCAAACAATGAGTGGAGCATCACGCGTCTTTTGTTCATACTTTTCAAAATCAGTGAAACTGTTTGCGTGCTACGTTGATTTCATTTTGTAGATTTTTTTTTAGCTACCCTATCGTGCCCCCACTTCTACGTGGAAACACCAAACGGCGTTCCGAATCTCTCTCTCCCTCTATCTCTCTTTCTCTCTATCACGGCTCAGCGAGCGTGATCATCGGTCATGTTTGATATGTTTTCAGGAGAAATACCGGTTTCCGATCAAGAATCGGCCGGTCCAGGGAATCTATAAATTTGGAAAAAATCGAATTTTGGGTTTTAGATTTATAGCTATGAATATGGAAAAAATCGATATGTGGGTTTTATATTTATAGCTAGAAATTTGAAAAAGAAATTGATTTTTGGGTTTTAATAGTTTCTTACAGGACATCATTTTAGAAATGTCGTGTGAAAGTTTCAATTTCATCCGACCAAAATTGGCGGAGTTCCACACTTTTAAATGATCACTTTCGAATACAATGACACATGTTTAAAAAGGTCTTCGAGTTTTTTAAAAATAAATTCCGAAAGTACATGTCTTTTTTAGCTCGCAGGTAGGCATAAATAACCCCTTAACTGCAGCGCGCACAACGCCTGTTTCCCGTCGGCGGTTCCCTTTAAGTGATGTGGGTCAGCCGATTCCCTGGCCTACCACCCCCTTCGAGTTCGAGCCGCTGCACCGAAATAGTAATACTAACTACTTACGTGCCGAGTCGAAGGTTTGCTAAGTGATGTGGGTTCGATTGTACGTGTTTGGATTCTGTGAGAGGTCGTGGAATCCTGGATTAACGGTTAACGTTGTCATACGCGCGGTTTCATATTCGAGAGAAGAGAAAAGTCCCGTCGTCGCGTAGCTTTCTCGTCTTGGTGGTGTCCCCGATTTTTCAGCTCCCGTGGCCACGCGATTGAATTTCTCCGTAATTCCCCTCTCCCTACCCTATTGTTCGTGATTTTTCGTTGGATCGTACGGAAGAGTTTCTCTCGATATTCCCCGAAATTTTTGGAGGGATGACATAAAACGGAAGTTGGCTGGGGGACGTCGCGTCGAGGATAATGCTTGGATACTCTTCTTTCAGAGGTGTTCGCGTTCTAGGGGTGATATGGCGATCGGGAACTCCAGAGATACTCCGTGGCGTTCCATTTTTGAAACCCCCTCCCTTCGTCCCCCATCTCCCTGTCGCGTTATCTTGACTCGTGGCTGGGTTTACGGAGAATTTCGCGTCGAACGGCATCGGTCGGTCCGCGGCTGAACTTCGGAAACTGTATCCGCGCGCTGATGAAAGAGAACCGATCGAAAACTAGTAACTACTTACGTTTCGGGCCAAAAGTTTCCCGTAAGTGATGTGGGCCGGCACGTGGTCAGGCTGGCTGGCCAAACTCGCCTGGAACCACCTTTCCGCCTCCGCGTACTGTTGCAGCCTCGACAGAGTTTCCCCGAGCAGATTGTAAACGCTCTGTAAAACAAGGTCAATGGACAGAGCTTTCGTGGTTCTCATCTTCGCCTCCCTGCACCCCTTTCTAAAGGGACAACGGAAACGTGGACGAGTGTCGCGAGGCTTTGTCTGACCACTGGCATTGGTATGCACTGAATTTGAATGTATTCCTAGTGGAAAGAAGTTTAACACGGCGATAGAGCATGGAATTCTGAAGCCATTGATATTTGTTTTAGCCGCATACGGCCACTAGTTTATGAAATATTTAATGTCCACTGCTGAGGAACCTTCGAACACTCATCCAAAATTTACTGTATAATTAAAAGTAACAGTTTCAATCCAGTTCAAATTGACCTGAACAGTGCACAGGGGTTAAAGAATACAGACACAGAATCTTATTTAAATCTACTTCCCCTTACCTCATTTCCTATTCATCCACAAAGTCCGCCCCTCCCCCGAATTAACAATACACCATTCAAAAACAGACATTTCATTTCCCCGTGTCAAAAGAAGCCACAGCAAGAGACTCCGAATTCTCTCGACGAATATTAAAATGCAAATGACTCTACACCATCCACCTTCCTCCACCAGTCATCCCAAAGAAACTTCCAGAGAACTTGCTCAAAAATGAATATCAAAACGACAAACGTAAAGACTCGGATCGTTTACCTAACGACCGGACGCGTAATTAATACACGGTCGTATCGATAAATCGGTGACGAGGGAAGTAATCGGACCGGGGGGTGGTTAGGGGAAACAGGTTGGCTGGATCAGTTTCGAAAGTTTTCTGATTTTCAGGACCGACGGCTGCTTCTAATGGCCGACGAAACTCCGTTGGGATCTCACGAACGCGCTCGCGCATTACCTACGGGGACACGTACGTACGAAAGTGGGGTTGCAAAAGAGACAGAGAGAGAGAGAGAGAGAGAAAGCGAACGCGCGTAGACGGGAACAAGATGAGAACACAAACGACTGTCGAGCGTTACGGAACGACTAACACCGAAAAGCTTCTTTCCGAGGGTGCACGCGCGCGCGCGTCCCAGCGAGCCACTTGGCCTCCGAGTTGTAGGCTAAAACTTTTATGATTTTGTTCGTGCCGGGTGCGCGCGGTCCGGAAAGGAGCGAAGTAGAGGAAAGTAAAACGAGAGAACGGGACCACGGGGCCAGAGTAGAAGGGAATGGCCGGGAAGAAGTCTTTCTCGCGGGCGGAGAAGACAAATGGCGGCGGGGAGGGGGGAAGGGAGAGCGTAGGGGTAGGGAGCTTCGAATATCCGACTGACTCGTCGCCGACCCGATTGCCCTGTGATTCCGATGGATCTTGCTTCCACGGGAATACTTTCCGTACCCAATCGTCCTGTAATCTGTAGCAGCTCGCGAGGAATCGAGAGATTCATAAGAATTCGATCGACGACCTTCATGTTTCTCGATGATTTATTGTTCCAGACCAGTTCCACGTACAGTGTGGTATTTTATAAATCTACCTAAACTAAATTCATGGAGCACCACCGATAGATTTTAGACAAATACGTTCGGAACAATTGTAGTAGGTATTCTGCCCTCTTTATCTTGCATTGTCCTGACATATTCAGACATCTGAGAATAATGAGAAAATAATTCCTTTACTTATTGTTGAAATTTTAAACAAGTATAATTTATCTAAACAGAAATGCCTTATTCTAAACCTTCGGCCAATACCATAATAAATCACAAAAAAAGGGTTTATATACTATTTCAAAACTAAGAAAGGGTTAATATACTATTTGCAATTTTTCCGCCGATTCTTCAATAGTTACCGACGAATTTTGCTCAGTCGTAACCCGTCGAATGTCTTCGTCCAGTTCTACAGAGTCCCTCGACACGAGTGTTCTCGTTAAGACCTGCTTGAAATTTCTTGAACCTCCCTTAGCACTGATTTACTCTAACAATCTCACTAACAAGTAAGAAAGTAAAACACGAAAAAATATCGTTTGAAAATCTCATTGGTTTTTGTCACATGTTCTATTAACTACCATATTTATTTAAAAGACTGACCAGATAAATTTGAATTTCGGACCATTGGGCGTTCCTGAAAAAATAGTTTCTACGCACAGTTAATTGTTTGTGACTCCCACCAACGATATTTCCGCCCCAGGGAACGATTTCCCTAGAATTCCTGAAAACATCCGTGTTTTTTAAGAAGCGACTCCACCTTAGGAAGCTTTCTCTGGCCCGTGTACCAGTACGGTGGTCGCGATCGCGCTCGAAAAGGTGAAAGCAATTCTGCCGGCGAGAGTGGCCGCGTCGTCAAAAGAATACGGGGGCGTTTTTCGCGAAGTGTATAGCAGCTACGGGACCGCCCGCGCATTGTTTCGCGTCATTATTCTCTTGAACCAGTTTCCACGGGACATTACCAGTAGCCGAGATGAAACGACTGTGTGTGCGGTCGATTCGTTCTTTCTCTCTCTTTTTCGTTCGTCTCGACGTTTCTTTTCGAAACGCTCGTAAATTCCGTGTCTCCTGTGAAACATCCTCGAATAAAAAAAAAAATCGTCGACGTTGAAGGAAAATGTGTGGGGGAAAGTTTCCCGATTCTTTCAGTGAAATAGTAAATGAGGCTACGCTGAATAATTTCCCCGTCGAAGAGGATCCCGCGACCGCAGCATCCTTGAAAAATTTAAGGACAAGCCAGCATGGCTGGGCTGAAACCGCGCGCTAATGCGCTCGAGAAACGTAAATACAGGACGAAAGAATGCGCTTCGGGGAAAGTTCGAGCAGCCTTCAACCACCCTCCCCCCGAACGGCGAGAGGTTTCGAAGCTCCATTGTGGCCGAGTCATTATTCACTTGGACCAGTTTTCGAGAGTATTACCGGCCGGCGGCGCTTTCAGTCGTTGAGATACTGGTCTCCCTACAGCTCCGCGATATGCATGTCTTTTACATGCTCGACGTCATCGAAGCTGCTCGGATCTTATTGTTCCCGCAAAATCGCGCCGAAGACCGCTCAAATGGCGACTCTACGATTCGATCTTCCTCGAGTTTTCCTCTTGTTTTTGAAGGGCTTCTGTTGGGAGGATCGCGTTTGTGGGACTTTATTATTGATTTGGTAGTTTGCGTCTTGTGGGTTTATGCAGGGGAGGAATCATGGTTTAGGGAGGAAGCGTGAGTTTAATCCTCGTGGTTACTGCTCGATGAACTGTTGCGTTGCTATTCCTTGAATTAACCATCCAGCTGCGGGTGATGTGGAAATCGAGTTTAATGTATTTTGCCCATTTCCCTGGACGACACGAATATCGTGTCGTTTCGAATTCAATTTGTCTATTTTATTTGTTTTATTTATTCATTTATAGTTTATTCGGTGTGGTCGTATTAACTGTAAAATCATTAGCGATAACTTCGACAATATTCACCTGAACCAGTGCACTAACCAATACATTGGCTAACATGTAAAAAGATCTGTTTCTATCAAATTTCCTGAGGGATTACCGTGTAAGGAGTCGATTGTACGGACTATTAAAAGCTCCATTGTTCGTATTCGCTTGATAAGAGCGCTTTATCATGTCATAAACTGCGCACTTTGGCCGATCATTTGCCACAAACCTTGCCTCCGGTCTGCAGAAAACTACCATCACGGTTCTAAACGGATTTACACTCGGCAGAATATATATTCCGATATTCAAAGGTGAACGCATTCAACCGCGAAGCACACCAAACAGTTAAACAACAGAACATAACGTCGAAAAGCGTGCCTTATTGTAACATAATGCACGCCCGTCTGGTTGTGTTAACATGTCGAGTTTGTTATACCCGTGTACAGACGCATCATTATAACTCGACGGTGCACCATACCACCCTCTCACCCCGTTTCGAGTGGCTCTTACGATATTAATTTATCGCAGGAGCAGCCGCGCGTAGCCGGGTGAAGCATCCTGGATTCGCAACTCCGCAACGGTACGCGGCTCGACAACTTTCGTGTTTCGTTTGTGCTTGCCAAACAATTCGAGGATAGTTTGGTCTGTTGCGGAATTTTTCTCATCCACTTAATTACAGATCGCGCGGTCGAGCCTTGAGCACAACAGGCCGGAGGGAAAACGTAATCATCTAATGTATTACAAATTATAAGTACTTTGTGTTATTGTAATAGAGTGTATAATTATAGGTTTTTCTTTTGGAAGCATTTGTTATTCAGCTACTTGGTTAAGCTGTCTCTGGGATCCTGAAATTTGGGGAATTTCCTGTATTTAAACTGGTACAGTCTATATGTTTCTTTTCTGATTTGATATGGTCCTCAACTACTTGTCTAACCATGTGCGTACATTCACTACTTGTCTGACCATGCACGTACCTTTACTACTTGTCTAGATTGGAACGAACATTAACTACTGGCCTGTTCAGGATAGATATTACCTCGCTAACTGCATTTGGCCACTAGAATGGACGCCTACTTTATCACTTTAGGGGTATGGAACATTTCTTGGCGATCGGCAGTACGAACCTTTTGTAACAGACGTCCAAATATTCGAAAAACGGTGTTAGTGTGACTTCTAGTTCGTTATTATTATCGAGAAAAAATTAATTTCCGCCTGCTTGTAATTTCTAGAAATTAATCTACGAAAGCTTGATCAAATGTCCGCATTCTATTTCTAAATACAGCAGTGTAGAAAGATCTGTCGATGAGCATATTCTTTGAACCAACGAAAAATGCAAGCTTCGGGGGGATTATTAGGCGCTCAAATTACTTTTTAAGAATACCGTCGGCTCGATCTTATACGCAAGGCTCTTGTTCCTACGTTTTCTCAAGTTCGCATTCGGTAACGCAATTCCGTCGAAAATATGGGAGGAGGGGTGGGGGGATGAAGTTATAGGCGGAGAATGCACAAAGAGTCGGTTTCTCGAGTGGTGCGTCGTTCGACGTCCATTGTTCCCTCGAGTGGGCCGTTTCTTTCGCGAAAAAATTACGCTGGTTACGTGTTCGCGTAAAAATCCGAGGATTCAGGACCGGTCTAACAAGGAATTCAGACCGGCTACGATTCAGGCCGAATCGTG